AACTAGTATAAAACCAATCAAATAATCTATTAGTATAGTAGACTACTTAAAATATATGCTGTATTATCCTTGATTTTAACGAAGAATCTTTTAATATTTCTTGGTTTTTTAACAAGAAAATCACCCCCCGTAATAAAGAAAAATGCCATTCTCGTAAAGTGAACAATTGTCGATTATAAGTTTATCTGATATATAATTTTAAAGTTTATGTATAATTCATAAAGTTCGTTCTCTCAGAATAAACAATTCACTTTCATAACACATGTCGATCACTATTTAAATTGTTATTTGTAGGACATGTCCAATGAGCGTTATAATCAGTTATAAATAAGATTTTTAAGATCATGTTTTAAATCATTTGCCATCCCTAGTTTAAGGGATAAGCAGTGCTAAACGGTAATAGTTATGTAAATGAAAGTTTCTTGGTACGATAATATTTTAATACATTTGAATATACAGTACTACGCAACTGTTGAACATGATCTGAAATTTTTTTTTTTTTTTTTAGGCAGGGTGGGTTGCACTTTAAGTGTTAATTTGGAGATAAGATTCACCAAATAATCTCACGATTCTAAAGATTCAAACCCTCTACTATGTACAATTAAAATTTAAACTTTATTTGATTGCAAGTCCACGGCCAAATTCAAAGCTGGATTTAGATATTGGATTTGGATTCACCGTCCTTTCTTCCCTTTCTTCTTTGAAGATTGGACTTTTCCCGTTGTAGTTGTATTGGAGGATGATTCAGTAGCGCCAACCACTGCTGATGTTGGATTAGTTTGTTCTGATGTATGCAATTGTTGTGAAAGTGATGCTGATGTCGATGATGTTGCTGCTGTTTAAATCATTATTTTCGTAAAAAAAAAATAAAAATAAATGTCTCGAATACTTTTAAAAATAAATGATTCACTAGATTTTTACCTTCACTTTCGCTTGGTTCACTTCGATTCTGCATTTTCAACATCATTGACCGATTTAAACGTTCAAATTTCTTCAAATCCGCTGCTTGATCTGTTTTATATTTGAGTGCTTTGAAATCATCTGTGACTTTTAGAACCAATTTTCCTTGTGAGTGCTTCCAAGTTGTTACATATCGCGTCTTAGTAAATTTATAGATTATAAATTTTCATAAGCATTTTAATATAAAATTTAAATACAGTCGACTCTATAAACGCACAACGTCTAAATACTATGTAAATGCTGTTGTCTTTGGCCCAAGTATATGTATTTTTACTTTTTATAACTGCAGATATTTACATATGGTCCCGATGTGATGCATTTAGAGAGTGTTAAAAAAACGAGGATTCGAGCATGTTAAAGGCCAGACTCGTCGTTTTAGAAATTTTTTTTATACCTCTTTTGGTGAATCTAAATAAAGTTGTTCAACTGCCTGTTGGTATTCGTTCCAATCATTAATGTATACCATTTGGAGTATGAAAGCAGATTCACTAATTATTTTATTATATAAATATTTGATTCGTGATACCTATGTGGTACTACGTTATCGTCATCAAAAATCAGAAAATCAGGATGGCTATCGAATCTTTCGTTTTACTTTCTAAAGAAAACAAATGGCGCCTGCTACTGTCGCTATTGAGACGAAAGATGGAAAGCTGGTAAAAAAACCGATTAGCTTTATTAACCTTGCTGTTGGAGCCGGTAAAGTATGCTTTGCTTTCACATACTGTAAAATGAAAATTTCTATTTTATTAGAGTTTTAAAGTTTATACCTCGTAATTTTCTTTTAGCGTTAAACATGTTTGAAATATCAACACTGGGACAACCATTTGAAGTAATCAAAACTCATCTTGCTGCTAATCGAAATGATAATATTATAACGGCATTGAAAAAAACATATCAAAGGGGTGGTTTTCTAGGGTTTTATCAAGGATTAATACCGTGGGCATGGATCGAAGCTAGTACTAAGGTAAAAAGGTATTTACTTTGAGTTATCTCGATTAGTTCATTAAATGTTGATCTTTCTTAAAACAGGGTGCTGCACTTATCTTTACTGCGAGCGAAATTGAATATCACGCAAGAGTTGTTGGTGCCTCACCTTTTATGGTTTGTATATATTAAAAAAAAAACCGTTACACTATATATTATTTAATAAATCTATCATTTATTTTTTGCTCATGTCTTTTAGGCTGGTATTCTTGGTGGAATGGCTGGAGGCTTAGCGCAAGCGTATACTACCATGGGCTTTTGTACTTTTATGAAAACTGTTGAAGTTACGCGTCACAAAGCTCCTGCCAGTCAAGAAGTTTCGAGTCTTAAGATTGCTGCTGATATATGGAAAAAAGAAGGGATTCGTGGAATCAATAAAGGCGTTAACGCTGTTGCTGTACGACAATGTACTAATTGGGCTAGTAGATTTGGTTTGACACGACTTGGTGAGATGGCTATTAGAAGAATTCGTGATGGTGAAATTGTAGACTATAGTCGGCCATTATCTCCGCTTCAAAAAATTCTAGCTAGTGCTATTGGTGGTGGTTTGTCTTGCTGGAATCAGGTACAAAATTATTGTCTTTTTTTTGTTTAGTGTTAATTATTTGATTATTTACATTTTTGATTAAAATTAAAGCCAATCGAAGTCATTCGTGTTGAAATGCAATCTCAAGTGAAAACGCCTGGCCGTCCTGAAAAAATGACAATTGTATCGTGTGCAAAATTTATATATAAAAATAATGGATTTAAAGGGTTCTATCGTGGTGTAACTCCTAGAATTTGTCTTGGTGTTTGGCAAACTATTTGTATGGTGTTTGGAGGTGATACTGTCAAGGTAATATTAAAAAATTTTAGAAATATTTTTACCAATCTGACTAATCAACATAAAATATTTTAGGAAAAAATTGCGGCAAGGCAAAAAGCCAAAAACTAAATATATTTAATATTACGATTTATTTATTGTATAAAGCGAAGCTTTTATAGAGGTAAGTAGTAAAAACTGTGATTATTTCCGTCCAACTTATTATCCGATGAATTTCAGCCAATCAGCTCTGATATCCGAATAAAAACGGTTTTTAATAATACAACGTTTATTAGTTAATAATTTTCTATAGAAATTTACAATAATTGATCTATAACGATAATAAAAGTAAAACATTGATTTATAGAAGAAATTTATTGTATTTGTTTGAATCTTTACGGGGATTTAAAATATTTACTGATAATCTGCTTTTTATACTGCAAAATAACCACCTCTGTAGCAAAACATACATTTTTGATATTTTTGCATTTATACTCTAAATATTATTACGATTTTGATACACTTGTATTTAGTGTTGTACGTTTTGACATGTCCAAAGCTTTTTTGGACATGTTTAAAATCCAAGTGTTTAAAGTGTTCAAGCTATTTATAGTCTTAAATATTTTAGTAATAAAAATAAAAATTATATGATTATATTTTTTATTTAAATTTAAATATTTTTGTTTAAAAGATTTAAATAGGTTATTTTAATAAAATTTTGAGTAAATTTATTTTATTTTTT